CTTTCAGGCTATGTATCATCTCTAAAGATAAATCTAACATCATGAAAAACTATTAGTAATAACTAAATCAAGGTTGTTTACTCGAATAAGAAGTATAAAAGTTCCTTAGCCACATGATCAAGTATAAACATTTGGATTACCGGCCCAAAATCCATTTTTTGCGTTCTTTAATGAAAATGGGAGTTTTAAAGCCCCATCATAGAAGACTAGAAGCAATATGAAATTTGGTCTGAGTAGGTTATTTTCAATGCTCTATCCGATGATGAACTCAAACAGCCAGAAAAAACGGTTCTTCGTGGTTTTTGAGGGTTTTCTGGAAAACTTTTCCAGAACCTGAGGAGTTTCGGTAGAAACAAAGTTGACCATCGTGTTCAGCATATCAAATAACCTGCTCTTGAAAGTTCTAAGCTTTGTTTAAGTGACAATATAACTACTTTTTGACTTCTTTATTGCTATCAGTCGGATTATGTCATCTATACAGTTAATCACAAAAATCATGCCTCGATTTGGCCTAGCAAAAATACTCTTAGTGTGTTAGAGGGCTCAGACAAAGGTTATTTGACATGCTGAACACGATGGTGAACTTTGTTTCTACCGAAACTCCTCAGGTTCTGGAAAAGTTTTCCAGAAAACCCTCAAAAACCACGAAGAACCGTTTTTTCTGGCTGTTTGAATTCATCATCGGATAGAGCATTGAAATTAACGTACTTAGACCAAATTTCATATTGCTTCTAGTCTTCTATGATGGGGCTTTAAAACTCCCATTTTCATTAAAGAACGCAAAAAAATGGATTTTGGGCCGGTAATCCAAATGTTTATACCTGATCATGTGGCTAAGGAACTTTTATACTTCTTATTCGAGTAAACAACCTTGATTTAGTTATTACTAATAGTTTTTCATGATGTTAGATTTATCTTTAGAGAAGATACATAGCCTGAAAACTGAATCTTGAGCTTAAGGAGTACTTGCAAAAGGATTGCGTTTCTCGCCTTTTAAAAGCCTTTGAGGACTTCATATACTGATATTCTAAATCAGCACATTGGACTCTATCAACAAACATACATTTCAGCGAAACCAAGGATAAAAAGTTTCCCAGAGATCCCTGTGGGGGACCCCAGGTCCCAAAAACCTTGTGGTCAGTGTTTCAAAATCTGACCCCTGAAATATCATCAGGCATCATGTCTGACTATGAATCGATAAAAAAAAGTCAATTTTGTTGGGGGCAGAAAAATAGCCTTATCGGCCCTAGTCCTTTTACCTTGATATAGTGTCAATACTTTCATCTGCTCGAAATAAAAAGAATGCTTCATTATCAGTCAATTTTCAATCGTATCCAATCAAAATTTTCCGATTTTGAAAGTTGTTTGACATCAGCAACAATTCTTCTTGCTAATACGTACGCATTAAGTGGTAATAAATCGTTCACATCACATATTCGAATGAAAATAAGTCAATCGGGTATGAAAAAAGTTGCTGGTTGTTCTTGGACTGTCGTCAATGGAAACGTTTTTGTGAGTTAAATCAATGTGTAAAAAATGATGATATTGTTGTTTTTCTATTGTTAGAAATTTCGTGCTCATGATCGGTCTCATACATTTTCAACAGATATTTATGCAGAATTAGATCGATTAAAAAATGAATTACTCTAATATGGTTATAAACCTGATGGAATTTGGATAACAAAACCATTAGCAGATGATGAAACAGCAGAATCAGTGTTATGTGGACATAGCGAACGGCTAGCTATTGCTTTCAATTTAATACAACGGCCAACTCCAACTCGTATTCAGATTGTCAAAAATTTACGTGTTTGCGGTGATTGTCGTAAGTCGATTAATTATATATTTTTATTTTCACCGTTTCATTTGTGTTGTTGTGTACTCAAAAAGTGAGTACACTACTAAAATCGGTCAGTGTGTCCGTCCGTCCGTCCGTCCGTTTATCCGATAACTTTCGAAAGGAGAGTCGGATCGTGATGAAATTTTCT